CTCTGAGTTATTAGAAAATAGATAAGGAAAACGATCGGGAAGCGCGGCAGACACAGCCGCTTCGGTGCGAAGCTTACCGAACGGGCCTTCAATGACAACCGTAGCGATTGGTAAGCAAGCACTCAGCTCCTCGGCGACTTGCTTGATCCACGCGCATTCTCCTGTTAAGTCATTCGGAGACACTAACGAAGGATGGACAACGTCCATGGTTGCCACTGAGTCTATCGTTGCCGCTGAGAACATATTAATTTGCGACACACACACACACACAGAAGGTGCCCCGTTCCGCAGCCGACAAGCATATGTTTACGTACACATCCCCACAGCCGCTGGCTCCATATGTTGTTGCATTCAGGAATCTTGACACCACCTTCCCGTTTTCTCTTATCTCTAGTTTTTTTTTTCAATTCCGCGTTATGTCTGGTTTTCTTCTAATGATTGCCTTTAAGCCCTTGGCACCTTTGTCATTAGTTCCGTTTATTTCCGAACGCTGTCGCCTTGCGTTGTCAGTGCAGTGTCGCGCAAGCCATGTGGAACTCCAGATGTCCGTTTTCGTAAAAAAGTTCGAGAAGCCCTTCAATTGAGAAAGTTCGTTTGTCTTTGGTCATTTGCGGAACGGCACAAAGACAAAAAATGGTAGATCCCACATGCAGTGGGAATCGATGATATTCGAAGCACAAATGAGAAATGTTGATATGGCACTTTAAAATCAGAACGACGTTACGAGGCGGAGGTAAATGATGCCGTACATTACTTCCGTGTAATTATGATCATATTTGGATGTGTCGTTTACCTTCGACATCTATTCACGTCACGTGATATCAAATTTAGTATATGTGGAGCTAGCTAAACGGTCGCGAGCACGCTATGAGCGTGGTATGTTGTCAAGTTCTTACATGACGTGCGTGCCAGGATTATCATGTTTGCGCCAGTCATATATTTCGTCCTCCAACGACGTAACGTAACAGAAAATTTGGCATATGTGGAGCTGGCAAAATGGCCGCGAGCGCATACTGAAGAGCCTAATATACTCCAATGCAGCGTTGATGCGCGCGCACGCTGGGCACAGCGACGCAACGTTAGCAAAACGCGAGCACTCTTAAGTCTGACGCCAGGCGCGACCAGCGTCCGTCGACGCGACCCGACGGCAACCGGCGTGAAATGCGACATGCGGCGTTTCGCTTCGATGCGTTACCCAAACAACACTGCGTCTCCCTCTTTTCGTGACGAAGGGACGCCGGACGCGCTGAAACGCGCATGCGTCAAAGCAACGCAGCGCAGCACGCACCTGCGGGTATGTGGCAGGACCTGCGCTTGGCGTGGAAACGCCGCCGTGACGCGACGAAATGAACGCCGGCGAGCACGCGCACCGCGTCACGTCGAAATGTATTGGCGCCTTGACTGTGCATGGCATGTAGTCTTGTTCTCACATGACACGCATCTCATGATTATTATGTTTGCACCAGTCACATACCTTCGTCATCCATTGACGTCGCGCAATACCAAATTTGGCATATGTGAAGCTAGCGAAACGGCCACGAGCGCATCATCAGTGTGGCATGTAGTCATGTTGTTACATGACACGCTTGTCGTGATTATCTTGTTAAGACGTGCCATTAACCTATATGTCGTCCATTCGCGTCGCGTAATGCCGAGTTTGGTACATGTGGAGCTAGCGGAACGGCCGCGAGCGCATCATGAGCGAAGCATGTAGTCATATTGTTAAATGACACGCATGTCATTACCTTCATGTTAGAGTCTGTCGCTTATGTTCGCCATGCAATCATGTTATACCATACCAGTTTTTCAACATGCCGTGTAAACGAAACCACCGAAAGAGCTGCAGGACCACGAAATGTAAATAATGACATTCTTGACATACATGTCATGATTTTTATGTTATGATTAGTCAAATATGTTATTCATACAGTCATGATATGGTATACCAAGTTTGGTAACGATACCATTCTCGAAACGGCCAGGAGAGCTAAAAGTCGTAGACAGCTAGATAGATAGATAGATACGCTCAAAGCCGCCGAAGTTCGCTAAGAAATGCTTCGCATAATAATAAAAAAAAACTTACATCTGAAAAACACGCGGAGGCAAGGAGGTGCCGAAAAGCATGATGGGCGACAAGAGTTTATATTTGAAACAAATACATACATGGCAAGCCGACGCACACGTTGAGAGCCTCTCACCAGGAGAAAGTGAGGAGGGTCGTTTTGGAAAGGGCTGCGGTAGGGGAAAAAATGGCATAAACGATCTGCTATACTCGTGTCTGCTTTTTTTTTTCATAGTTATTCGTTATTGTTTTGTTCTGCCTCCAGCTTGTGCGCCCTCAACTTTTGGCTTCTGTGTCTATCGACAATAAAACCATCCGTTCGGTGTTTTCATAATAGCCTCTCCACGGGCACTGGCGTATCCCAATAGCACTCCAACGCACTTGTCTTCTAGCAGTCTCCGTAATGCAGTTCTTTCATCCATTACTGTTTATTTCTCTACTATGTATCGTCGACAAATTGGCACCTGTACTCACTCAAACGAAGGCACTTGTACTCGACTGCCCTACAACAGCCGTGGTTTTGCGATGTGTAAACATATTAAAAACGTGGTTCTCACTTTTTATGAAAAAAAAAAAAGCTGGGCAAGTGAATGTTGCGCGTAAATAAATATAGCTTGAGTTTATCCCTGCAGTTTCATGATTTTGTTTAAGGAGGTCAGGACTAATATTGTCAGCGTCATTGCTACGCGCCAGTCCAGTATATAATCGCCCCGCCTAGTAAGCACTATCAAGAAATTTGAATGCCACTTCTAATACTTTCGCAGCTTCTTCAATAAAGTTACGAGGAGCGCGTCACCATGTTTGTAGAAACCACTATTATTCAGCGTTTGAAGCTTAATTACTTTTCGGCACACTACCGTGTACCGGATAAAATAAAAAATACTCAAATTATGTTTCTGTCATACGCTTTCAGCATATAAAAGCTACTGAACGTTTATTGTCCACTGTCGAAAAAATTAATCGTCAAGCACTCAGGCTTAGAAAACGCGAACGTGCTGAATAAACGTAACAAAAATCGACATACATTAAGACATCTTTATAAATATAACAACTTTGTCACGAATTCAGCTACATGCATTGTGAATTTTTCTTTCAACCTCAAAGCAAGAAGCTGGTTCTGAAAAAAAAAAAAAATGTCAGGTGCTGGGCACACACACGAAAATTCAATTGGCTTTTTAACTAGATAGCGCCTACGTACTTCACTAAACACGCGATATGGCATTACTGCAACGAATGAGAATTAAAAAGAAAAAACAGATTAGAACAACCGAGCGCGTCACTGTTGTAACAACCACCACCCACTTTGATGCGGCTGCTGCCCCGAGGGAGCCGCCGTACCCGTTTTCCCGTCCCTCCTATGGATGGATATGGCTGTACCCTTTAGATCGGGCGGTGGCTAGCGCCACCAAGCCGTAATCTCCGCCCCGTCGCGCTGCAGCGGCCGCAACTGCAACTACGACTGACACGCGCTCTCCCCGAGAAAGCCGCTCGACGCGACGAGCCGTACCGTGCGCTTTTTCATCCAGCGGCCGAGCTACGCCTACTCCGCTTTTCAGACAAGAGCACTACAAACCGCTCCTGGCTGCTTTCGGCGCAGCAAAAGCGCTCTAACGCGTACAATGGGTGACAGTGCTCCTGCACCTGTTCGACCACTGAACACACCGGTACCGAAGAGGGTACTTTCAGCGTACTTTGTGCTCCTGCTCTCCAAATGGAACTCGCTATAAAATTAACTCCCCCTTTTCCCTCGGAACACACGAACCGGCGAAAAACGGCGTCGCCGGGAAGAGGAAATAAATTCCTACCTGACGACCTCACAGACGATTGCACATTACATCAGTTCATCCAATGCAAAGCGCGCTCCAAGTCGCACATGAAAGGACGCGAAGGATTGCAGTGCTGGTCAAGAGGCAAAAGCGTCCACCTCCAATGCAGGGATAGGCGCTGGGTTAAACTTTCAATACCACCCGCAACACATTACCTTGGCCTCACGCTCGGTGTAGGGGGCACTGGTATTTCGACAAGACTGAGTATCCTTTCCGCAGCCAAAATATGCTTCCAGGATGGAAGACACTCGGTGTATTGACATTTTTTTTTTTAGTTTGTCTCAGCCTTAAATCCACCGAAACAAGGCGAACTTTCACGCAACACAGTACCTCCGTCCCGATTTTCATGTGTATCTTTTTAGTTGGATGATGATGTTCCTCTTGCATCGGTGGCACTCGCCCACAGTGGGGATTGCCTAAGAACCAGGAGGCAGGATCTTTGGGTTAGTTGGTTATGTATTTCAAAGCATCCAATGGAGTTTCAGTATATCCCTGAGGTACAGGTGCAACCACCAGCAACCTCCCAGCAAAATTAAGGTCAGCGGACTACTTCGCGCGCTGCTAGGTGGCAGTGTTCAAGTTCTTTGGGTGCATTAGGCTTCTCTGAACTTTCGCTTGTGAAGAGGCTAGACGACAGTTGGGCCACGTGTTTGGACCATAGCTGCAACAGAACTGAGCTTGTCGACTTCACTGCTGCAGTACCCCTAATTCAGTATGCAGAGTTTGATTTTGTCAACAGCGTATTTTTCTGCCATACCAAGAAGTCAGTACTGTATTCTGCGGGGCTATGCATAATTTGCAATTTTCATAACTAGGCATGTCGCACACACCTTGGGTGGCGACTTGTTTGGCAAAATTTGAAGAAAAATGGAGAATTCTGGCGACATTTTGCTCACCATCTGGCCACTGATTTGAAAGCCAGTGGCAACCCTGTTTGTGCCATAACTTGCTATGTGCACACATGCACTCACCACATACATATCTTCACATCTAAAAACTGAAATACCTGTTACCAAGGTTATCTGCAATTTAACTGTACACTAGCAGTACTTCATGGCCCTTTGGGTGCATGCAGCGCAGCCATGCACGCTGTTTCCTCCAAAAGACAAAAATCTCAGCAGCTTCTTTATTTTTTTGGTGGCAGAGGACACAGCGACACAGTATGAAAGCATTCAGCGAATCACTTGAAGAAGAGGGGAGAACTTCCACTAGCACAATGTGTGCACTGATTAAGGAATTGCAGACTGAATAGTTGAAATTTATTTGTCGAGACACGTGTTAACAGCTTTCTTTTTTTCTTTAGAACATGCACAGTTTGAACCAAAATTCATGATTATAGCTTACCAAGAGCCACGTGCATGGCAGCTTGGACATTACCTACAATGAGGACAATGATGACGAAAACAAAACGGAACAACCCACCTGTCCGCACAAAACCAGCATAACTGGGGCCATAATGTTCACAACTGCAAAATGAAAAAAAAAAAAAAGCACAACGCTTACCGAATTCAGCATTAGAAAGAATAGTGCCATGGGAAAGAGAAAGTATGTATGGTTCAGGTGAACGCAGCAGACTGGTTAAAACATGGATGGCCCAGGGTAGCCAGCGGTGCCACCTTCAAAAGGAATCACTGCTTGTGGACATGAGCTACTACAGGGCTGCACTTTAGGACACACACCCACAAAAGTGCAGCAGAAATGGAATATCCAGCGAAAGATGAAGATGGCAGAGGGTAGAGACAGAGCTGCAATATTTCGGTGGACTGCTCAGAATTCTCGACGGTGGTACTTGTCCGGGTCGAAGTAGGACGTTACAACCACACGGTTGCTGAATTTGCGCCCCGTCAAGCTCTGCTGTGCCTTCTGGCAGTCGATGACAGAATTGAACTCGACGTAGGCCTGGAATAACACAGAATGGGACAGAACACATGTATACACAATGAAACCAGAACATTCAGACTCTTCAGCACTAACACTGTTAACAATAACAAGTACTTGTACAAGTAATAAAGACTAGGTTTCAATGTCTACAATTGGCAAATGGAAGATCAGAGGTCTTTAAAAGAAAAACAGCACTTAAAGGGCCCGTAAATCATCTCCAATATTTTTCAAGCATTTCAAGCGAACGCGCGCATCGTGTGCAGAATGCTGTCGCGATCAACAATTCTGCACGTGGCAGCGCTACGAGCCGCCGGCTCACCATAAATTCCAAGAAACAATCCAACCTCCTTTACGGGCTTTTCGGGCCTCTACGTGACGCGCCATGCCACATATCATGATGCGCTGAGCCAAATATGCTAAATATGCTGTGAGTGGTCGAGCAAGAGCCTACAACTTCCGGTCAGTCTGCAAGCAGCTGTCCGCGCTACTTGTTGCACGTGTTGCCCACGTGTGTGCAACACATGCGGGGCACGGCGTGTCCCCGTACGTGTCCATCGCGTTGGCAATCCTTTGAAGGGGTGCGCGCAACGCAGGGTCCATACTGGCACGATTACGGCACCCACGGTTCTCCAGTAAGCACGTAACTGATGGAGTCGACGGCCGGAGTTGCGGCGACCCGAAGTAGACTGTGCTTCAAGCAGCGCGTCAGCGATGACATATGCCCCGCGAGATTGGAAGAGGCATGAGAGGGGCGCTCAGCGAGAGGGCAAAGCGGCGTGGGAGAGGATAACAGCGGAGGGAACGCATGAGAGAGCGAAAGGTGGGGTCCTCACGGTTTCCATAATCAAACGCGTCTAACTCCGCTATTACTGCACCGTTTAAAAAAATTCTCACGGCTCCATGTCTGTCATACACTCGCGCACAATTTCTCCACCACAACTGAATTTAGACCTTTGGGTGGTTTACGGGCCGTTTAAAGGCGGGGACAAGTAAAAAATGACACGCGATGCGCTTCTAATAACGAATTTTACTGCGGCAAAGCAATATATATGGAAAGGCAAGCCATCTAGCACATGAGCACATTTCATCATCTTGGAAAAAAAAAAACATAAACGAGAACTTTTTTAAAAAGATTGATGAGCAATGCTTCTCACAGTGATGAAACCTGTCACATGCACTAGATATATGTGAACTTAAAAGGACAATATCATCAACAGTTGTGCCCTACTTACCGAGAAATTAAGGCAAATGCATGAGAACACGTGTGCTATGCGTAGGAAATTTGCAAAATGATCCCAATCACGTGAAAAGTACCGCCTACAATTAATCACAGGTCATCGAACTAGCTGCTTGAAATAAAAAAACTTCCTGTGAATCAAGAAACGTAATAAAATGCTGTTTGTTCATTTCCGTTTCATTCAGAGAAAAAAGAACCATTACTATAGGGAATGGTGCGAGTTGTTCAATAGTCCAATTTTCGCCTGCTTTCCTGGCTATGGCAGGAAATCGTTAAATGGCTGTTGGTGCTGCTGTGCCTCCCGCTACTTTAACTCTGCTGCTACTGGTGTCGGCGTCCGTGCAGAAAAGCCAGGCAACAATGTTGCTTGGCAACAGTGACGTTAGTTTGTTTCTTGAGGCGGGCAATTTGCGCTAACCTGATGCAGACCACTAATATGTGTGGTTTCATTTCAAAATAAGCACTTCCTTGGCACAGAAGTAACTACGTGGTTTCTGGACCACTATTGCATCATCTAAGACACCGATTTCTTTCTTGCTAAGGGCAATGCCTCCTAGAAAAATTTATGCTTGGAACGTGAGCCGCGAACGTGCCGCCGTACCCTCGGATTTTACCCTCCCCTTCTGGTACGGAGGCAAACGCCTGGCCGTCTCTTGCGAATGCAGCAATGCTCTCACAGTTGCCTCCGAGCAGCTGTGATCTCACGTCACAAAGCGGTACGGTAATGTCATGTGACTGAGCGTTACAGAGGCAAGTGGTCACACGCGGCGTACGGTCGCAACATGCGACAAGAGGCATAGCCTCCAAGATTTTGCGCTGGCAGGAAGCTCCCAATTGAAAAGAGAGCGACGTTCCAAACATAGTTCATCCAAGAGGCGTTGCTAAGGGATAATGATGCTCTGCTGACACATGCGTCTCCTTTTCTGATGGCGTGAGCTTCAACAAACAGCCTGACCCGTTGGCGTTTTTAAAGTCATGCCATTCTTTAAGCTATACCAACAGGCTCGACGTCATTCACTTATCAGAGGTAAAAGAGAGTTGCTTTAAAATAGTAACTCTAAAATGTTCACTTAACTAAACACTCTGAAAAATGTGACTACTTTAGAAGGAAAAAAAAATCCCTTAAATACCAAAGAATGAAGGAAAGCTGGGTGCTGTTTCAACACAGAGAAACAGAAGTCGAGTTAAAGAAGAACTCGCCTTTCCGCAACCAGGCACTTCGACACCGTCGATTGGTCGGGGTATCTCAATGCTTTTGACGACACCATACTTGTTACATTCCTCATGAATGTCCTCGAGAATGTCCTCATACTCCTCTTCATCCTTCAGCTCTTCGGGGCACACGAGGTTCATGAGGCACAGCACCTCTGTCGGAGGGCCTGCGCCACCTTGAAGCTGTAATCCTGGTACTTGAATCTGCACTGGGGCTTGCTATTTCAGAAAAAGAAGAGAGAGTAAAATCAAAAATGTTAGAATTACACTCGTTTGTTATGCAAAGAGTTTGTGAAAAATCACAAAAAAGAAAAATATAGTTGAAACTCACACTCATTTGACTGTTCTTGGCACCAACACTTGCTCTTTGCACAATCAGTTTCTTATCACCAAGTTGCATTCCATTGAGCCCCATAATGGCCTGCAAAGTGAGAGCTTGCAATAAACCACTGTGATGCTAAGTTATCAACCATGACTGCATCAACAAACAGCTCACTAAAAAGAGAATACCTGGCAGTCGCATGTTATAAATACTCTAGGCAATAAAAGTCCGCAACTTTGTTGAAGTAGTGTGTCTCCACAGCTGCAAGGGAGTGGCCAACAATAAAGTGAACACACATCACCACTTCTGAATGACTGTTCCAAATTATTTCTACGACTACAATGACACTGTGCCACATTTCTTTCATGCAACAACTCGTCCAATATTATGTACGGTGCCTGCCAGTTATGTCACTTTAACCACCATTACGCTACCATCATGCCTCCAATCCCACAAGCTTGAGAATTCGTCTTGGCAGCATGAGACACATTTTTTGAGCATGTCGTTATGAATGCACTGCGACCTGCCGCCATAAAGGCTCCCACAGGCTGGACTCCGAGCACGACTACCTGGGAATGTGCCTTACAACTGAGCTGCATTAATGTGCAAAATGTGACACCCTTTGTGCAGTGCTCCTCTCCCTTGCTGACATCCTTCTCAGAGACACTGGATGCACCCAAGCTACAAAGGTGCACCTTTTTCCTCCTTAGGTCCCAGTGCGCTTATAAAAGGCTGGCACATCTAGTCTCTAGAGTTTTTTTTCATCCACTTCCTCCGTCTGTGCTATGTTCTTGTCAGGAACTCAAAACTTTTTTTTTTTTCTTTGGCTACCTTTTGCCTTCCCCAGCACAGTCGTTGGGACCTAGTGTAATGTTACCCACGAGACCCCAGTGCCTTTAACAGTTCCCGTAAGCGATATTTCTCCGCACCAAACATAACTGCAGAATGCTTATAATGCCAAGATAAGAAGCAGCCTTTACAAGGTAGCTCAGACAATAGTGCAGGGGGTCAAATGCATGGCCCATCATGAATGGGACTAGATACAAACTTTTCAACACAGCGCACAGGCTTTTGCTGAAATGTGGGAGGTACAAGAGGCAGCAGGGAGCCCTACAGCTAACAAACAATGACGCACACACCTGATCCGTTGTAGCAACCTCCACATACTCGCAAAATGCATAGCCCTTGGAGAGTCCAGTAGCGCTGTCTTTCACAAGATTGAATGCACGTAGCTGTCCAAATGACATCAAGAGCTCCCTGACCTGTGAAATGTGAAAATGAAGCAAGGAAAAGTGCAGCAAAAAGAAAGTGTACATCAGTGAACACGCACACTGCTTTATGACATGAGCTGATGAAATCAACGCTTCCATCAGAAAGCATATAACTGCTTTAAAAAATGTACTTCCGTTTTCGATATCACAAAGGCACACTGCAAAGAAGAGAACCGAAAGGGCTGTGTTCTCTCTTGACAGAAAGCAAATCGTTAATTCACAGAAAATGCTGCCAGGTGTGTGGTGTGCAGCTAAGAGCCTTGCGTTTTCTTGGTAGTCAAATATTATCTGCCTGTCCCAGAGTAAAGAAATCAAGGTTAGTACTGTCAATACTACCTCCACCCCATGCCGATAGCTGCGATTGTTGCCAGCCACATCCCTAGTGCAAGATGCATTTGGCACAGAATGCACTTGGTGCATGAAGAAAGCAGCAGCTACACGTAACATGATGATCGAGAGCCCAATTTTGGCTTGAGAAATGTTCTACATCATTTTGCAGCATGCAACACAGCCCTTTAAAACCAAATAATGTTGGCTTAGTGTGGTTGGTGCAGAGAGTTTTATAGATTCTGTTATTAGAACAAAACTGAGTGCTACAGGTATGCATCATCATGAGAGGAGAACATGGATAGCAGAAGTTCCTCATCCATTCGGCATGGATCCTTTCAAGCAAGCACACTGCAGCTTCAGTTATAGTTTTTGTGGTTTATGTTAGGTAGCTAGCTTTAGGCTTCTCTAGAGCAGTGCATTACTTTGACTGCTGTATATTTTATTGGGCAATTTCCAGCCCATAAGTAAACTGCAGTATTTCCTAGTAATGTGCACTACTGAACCTGGATGGCTGGCAAGCATTGCCTTATTGTTTACTACCGTAAGTGCCCCCCTGTGGTGAAGGATAAGCCAACCAGATTTGGAAAGGAGAGTGGGGCTTGCTCAGTCACGGACCAAAATTCAAGATGGCAGCGGGAGGGCCGCTAAGAACGAAAAATACCCATTCACGTTTCTAATGAAATGCTCTATTATTCATACGACAAAATTTTATGAGCAACCTAGGACACATATTAAGTGTACTCATTCTTGTGGTTCTTTTTACACAAATGATGCTCATCTTTAATTAAAGGAGCACTGACATCAAATTTGAAAATTGATATGTGCCCATCATTCGATTGCTTGGTGTGCAAAGGTCTTTTTGGCCAAATCTGAATGGCATCCGTTGCCCGGAAGTTATTTTAATTCGATGTCAAACAGCATAGAAAAGCTAAGGAGAAAAATGCAAAATAGACTGCCCTGCGACATCATCACTATGTTCGACGTGATAATTCCACAAATACCATCCTAAGTGACGATACGCTAGTAACAATGACGTTGGCGAGTTGATGTGTTTGGAGCCGACTCCTGGCCATGCTCTGACTAATGGCTCTCCTTGCTGTGTTGAAGTGTGCATGCGATTCATCGTGTCGCATCGACTGATTTGGTGTGTGCTCCACAGCGCTGAGTACGATCAGAAAGAGTGACAATGCGTGCCAGCATGTTGGGGAACCGCTGCGCAGTGAGAACCTGCACGTCGAAGCGCGGAAATCGCGTGGCGTTTCATGCCTTTGCAAACCACGAACCTCAACTGCAGCCAGTAAGTTCACTTCGTACTGCGCTGATGGACAGAGGGACTGGACGCCTATGAAGAACAGCTGCATTTGCTCGCTTCACTTTGCGCCGAGCTGTTACAGGGTAAATCCTGTGTTGGCGAACCAGTTGGGTTTCACAGGCAGTACGAGGCCCCTTTTCGAGGCCGGGGCTAAAGGGAGAGGGGAAGAACGAGTTGGCGCTACTTAGCCTAGCCGGAGGCAAATGCATGGAGGGGCTTTAGTCTACATCATCAGAGACACAGCTGGCTGACTGCACATAAGCTCCTAGCAGACGAAATGCCAGTGTGCGTGACATCACTATTCTTTGTGGAAGCAGCATCAGCTGTGCAGTGGCCTCGACGTAGCAGCGAGGTAGAGCTGAAAGCACTACAATTTGCCAGGCTTTTGACCCATTTTGAATCACTGTTCGATAGCGGAGATATTAATCAATATTACAGATATTCATTCGTACCTCAGATGCATTTTAGGACACGAATCGCTTTTAGGGGGTCGATAGCTACTCGTTCACGCGAAAATCTTCACACAAGTAAATTTGATGTCAGGTGCTCCCTTTAAAAAAAAAAAAAAAAGTGCTCTCCAGGATGAGGTGGAGGGGGTGGTGCTTGCTTGGTCATTGGCACACATCTTAGGTCTCTTAGAAAAGGGAGAGAGCACTTGCTCAGCATCTTACAGTATATTGTTTTGTGCTAACAATACAACTTTTTGAAAATGGACAGAAATAAAAGAGTCAGGTACACTAAAGTAGCAGTGTGCAAATATTTCATGGGTGAGCTTTCCTATGTTGCAAGGATGTCACAATCATTCAAAACCAGAAGGGCAAAGTTCATGCTGTGACCATAACATGACAAATGCCGACAGAGTGAATGCACCATCAACTCTAATGTTCACCAAAGAAGGTGAAGACGCATGCTAAGTGATAAATGTAGCTGCAGCTGCAGAAATACACCCAGCCATGAACAAAAGCACATGTGCCTCCTAGCTTGAGCCCTTGATTGAACACCAATGAATAGGGTATACGAGGACATACAAAATAATAATACCTGGGGCTCTACATCCCAAAACCAAGATACGATTATGAGAGACACAGTAGGGGAAGGCTCCAGAGACCATCTCGTGTTTTTAACAAGCACCGGCATAGCACCAGTACACAGGCCACTAGCACTTCGCCTCAATCAAAGAGCAACCGCCACAACCAGGATCCACGAGGAAAAGCAATACAAGACTCATTCATGAAGTGCCCATGATGACCCGCTGGCCAAATAAAAATACTGATTATGCAAATGAACAGTGGTGCTACATTTCCTTTTGATATTACTAATAAATGTATATGGGCTACAGACTACCGATACCAAGTGGTTCATTCATCTTGGTAGTTGCAATGCCATTTGTTAAAGCCCTATGTGAAATAGGCATGGAAAAAGTGAGTGATTTTCAAATTTGGAATGTAGTTCCTAGTAACTGCTACTTTCTTAGAAGTAGTATCTAAACAGGTCCTGCTATAGATTTTTTAACCCAGCCAGAAAATGCTGCCATTGACAGTCAAGGTTTTGGTGAACATATGAGCGAAATATAAAAAATGCTCTGCACAAGACAGGGAATTTATGCTTACGTTTCAAAGACAACAATGAGTTGCTCTTCTCTTGGCAAATTACGTCAATAATGCGCCCTACTCCGTCACTGGAGGGAAGGATGCAGCCATTAGCCAATTTAATGATAGCGAGAACTGCTCAGTCATGATGCACACTGACACAGCTCCTTGCACTTTTGCCCCCTTGGTTTTAAATCTAATGAATGACTTACACCATGTCCCAGTAAATGAAGCCTCCTAATGTGGTAGCCTAATATAGTTCTAAGCAAGCAGGGATGCTCTCAGGCTATGGTGCCCCTTTCTAATGCAGTGCCCCATGCGTGCCTATGTCCATGTCTAATGTCAAGTAGAGTAGGCGTTTTGTCTGTCTTGGTCTATCTGCATGAACACAAACAGGTGCACGGCTGTGCCTTCTACCTATTCTGCTGGAAGCCGATGATGTTAGTGGTAGCACTGCAACACCTGGCGTTATCGCATGCCATAGCTATAAGCATGTTCCTAATAGCTACCAAGAAGTGAGCAAGAATCGCGTCAGCAGTGTCACGTCCAAGCAAAGGCTCTTGTGCAGCCGCACGTATTTAAAAGCACAATGAGCCTCACTGCGTGCAATGCGTGATCTCTCCTGCAACACTGGCAGCAGTTGGCATAATGCAAAAGGGTTACTGCTAGCCACCCAACACATTTAATGTTTAGTGCAGGTTAATAGAAAGAGGGAAAGTGAAAAGGTGGAAGTGAAAAATAATTGCGCTGGAGGGGGCTTGTAGCAAATGGCCAGGTAGAGATATTAACATAATGCAATGGTCTTGTTGCAAGCCACCACCTGGCAACTGACCGTGACGAAGATACCCCTCTTCAGAAAACAAAGGCTTAATGCTCCGACTCCACTTTTGCAAGCACATGTCCCAGCAGCATACAGCTGCACCCTAATTTCACTACCAATGCAAAACTGCCACTGGATTCTGCCATATCAGCAGATCTCCGAAGAATCTGATTCCCCAGGATCAAAAAATGCGCGAACTTGGTCTTCAGGGTCGATGTGAATTTCTTACATTCTAACTTGAACGAGGGTCTTAAAAAAGCTTTTATTCATTGTCCGTATCTAAATGAATATTACCACATATATGTATTATTGAATGAAGATTTCAAATCTGCAAACAGATTTCAGATGTCTCATTAAGAAAGGAAGAAATCACAAACTTCCACATGGTAATTATCCTTTTTTTACATTGTAATTATGCATTTTATGCTGGTTCTGCTAAAAGGTCCACCCCACAGAATAAAGTGCTAGATGTAAAAACAATTATTTCTTTGATCAGAAAAATTTCAGGCTCTGGTGGTAAAAATGAGTTTCAAGCAATTCAGCTGGTATTTATTAAATAATTACAATTCCATCAATGTCAAGAATTAAAAAAAAACGAAAGCTTTGAGTTGTACCTCGAGTGTTGAGGAAAAGAATGATACCAACACTGCTTCAAATATGTTTCCAGAAACCACCTCAAAACTTCTACAAGACGCATTCACTTCACAAAACTGTAACCGATTGAACCTGTAACAAAAATAACGGTATTTTCCATAACATACTACTTTTCCAGAGCATAATTTGAGCTATAATACCTTAAACTGTAAAAGCAATTTTTTAATATTTTAATATTTTTTAATTTTTAATATTTATTATTTGTTGCTACATTAATACTTTCATAACCCCCCCCCCCTTTAATGAAAAACTGCTCAGCCTACAAACCACTATAAACTAGAAAATT